AGATGGTTTCACTGACTTTAGAACAATTTTAGCAGCACAATAAAGTATGTAGTATTGGGTTATACCGTGAAGTAGATTTTTTTTTTTTTTGTGGTCCTGGGGATTGAACCCAGGGTGGTCTTGTGCATGTGAGGCAAGCGCTCTACCAACTGAGCTATATTCCCAGCTCATATGCCCTGAAGTATAAAGTAAAATATATGTGATCCCATATGGATATAAATAAATAAATAATTTTTTTAAAACCAGGAAGAAGACATAAAACTTCTTTATATAATATTATCAAATAATATATGCTAACTAACTCTTCCCTTCAAGAAGTAAAGCTTAATCCTTGCCCCAAATCATCACTGGGTCTGAGTAGGTCACCCTTGGTGACTTGCTTTCAAAGAACAAATAGGAAAGGGAAAAAGAAGAACTTTACAATGGAGAAACCTCATAAATATTACCTTAACCAAATGATAAGCCCTTTATATAATACAATGAGAAGGATACTTGACCTCTGTTGTATTCTTCTCCCAAACCTTAATTATAGTCTCATTGTAAAACAAACATCAGACAAAGACAGACTGGGGAAAATTCTACAGGATACTCAATAGTACTGTTCAAGACTGTCTAAGTAATGTAAAACAGGGAAAAACTCAGAAACTGTCACAATCCAGAGAAAACTGAGAAGACATGATAACTAAATGTAATGTTGTACCCTGGACTGAATACTGGAATATTAGTGGAAAAAACTGACAAAAATCCCCCAAAGCTTGGAGTTTAGTTAATATTAATGCATTGTACTGACTTTTTTAGTTTTTTTGAGGATGATTTTTAAAATTAGTGCTTAATGGTTATACAAAAAGTTGGGTTCATTTCAACAAACTGGCTTTTTTAGTTTTGACAAATGTACTACAGTAATGTAAGATGTTAGTTAACATTCAGGGAAAAGGAAATCCAATGTGGGCTATACATGAACTCTCAATACTATCTCTGCATCTTTTCTGTAAATTTAAAATCCCCAAATAGGAAGATTATTAGAAAAAAAACATGTGGCTAAATCTACACGACCACTAATGTTTAGATGATAAAAGTATGTTTTTCAAAACTATCAAGTAAAAGAGGATAGGTTACTAATTCTCAATGCCCCTAAGTATTCCAGACAAGTGGAAACTGATATAAAAGATGAATGATAATACCAGAAAAGTGCACTATGTTAAGCAAATATCTTTATTTGCTTTTCAAAGTGTGATATGTTTTCTTTTATCAGGGTTTGTTTGGGTTGTATTTTGAAGTCTAAACTAAGGTAGCCCTTGAAGAATTCATCCAGGCTACCAAACAAAATAAATGCAGTCTGATTTAGTTTTGTCCCTGTTTGCACATGAAAGAAAGTTATTTACATTTCTTAAGTGAGCTTTATAACAACTGTTTGAAACAAATGGGAACAGCAAGTAGAACCTAGAAAGTCAGATTTGAACAGAAAAGTGATACTTTGCTAATAGAAATGTGAAATAGATGGGCATGGGGTGCATCATATAATCCCAGCTACTTGGGAGAGTGAGGCAGGGGGATCACAAGTTCGAAGGTAGTATGGGAAATTTAGGGAGACCTGTTTTAAAATAAAAAATAAAAGGGCTGGGTATGTAGCTCAGTGGTAGAGCACTTGCCTACCTTGCATACCTTGCATAAGCCCCTGGGTTGAATCCCTAGTACTAACCACCCACCCCTAAAAAGAAAAAAAAAAAAACTGAAAAGAAATGTCACATAAATGGATACTCTGAGAAAGCAACAAAAGGTGATATTGTTTTTGTTTTAAGACGCAAATAGGAAGAAAGAATTCACAGTGGTTCCAACTATTCCTTGATGGCTGCCCTCAGCCTCACCTGTAAGCAGTGTATGCTTGTTGTCGGGCGCAGTGACGCACGCCTGTAATCCCAGCGATTCGGGAGTCTGAGGCACGAGGATCTCAAGTTCGAAGCCAGCATAGGCAATTTAGCAAGATCCTGTCTCGAAATAAAAAATAAAAAAGGGCTGGGGATGTAGCTCAGTGGTAGAGCACCCCTGGGGTTCAATCCCCAGTACTGAAAAAAAAAATAAAGGCAGCAATAAGTGCTTGTCACCTTTGCCGCTTCCCATTTACTTCCACTTCTCTTCTTTTACCAAGAGTCCTTCCACGTTCTCCTTCCTGTCTGGGTTCCCAGCCCTTGTTCAATTCTAGGCAACTGTTCTATTTTCAAATTCTGCTCTCACTTAATTATGGAAACTTTTATTATAGCTATTCATAAGATAATATTGGTGCTGTCTCATATTTCTTAACTGACAAAGTTTCAATAAATATAAACAATTATTATGCCCTGCATAATTGTTCAATGCATATTAGGACAGGATTAGGCTAATAGGACAGGATTCAGGGTGAATCCAAACCTAAATTTCAGTTTTCTTTTATTTGTTCTTTCTTTCCTTCTTTTCCTGCGATAGTGGACATTGAACTCAGGAGTGCTTTACCACTGAGCTACATGCCTGAACCTTTTTATTTTCCTTTTCCTTTGTTTGTGGTGCTGGGGATTGAACCCAGGGCTTTATGCATGCTAGGCAAGCACTACCTTTGAGCTACATTCCCAGTACAATCCTTTTTATTTTTTATTCTGAGACAGGGTCTTGCTAAGTTGCCAAGGTTAGCCTTTAACTTATGATCCTCCTGCCTCAACCTCTGGAGTATCTGGGATTACAAGTGTGCACCACCAAGCCTGGCTCTGCTCTTATTCAGATGACCCAGGATAAGTAACTTCTATAAGCCTCAGATTCATCACCTGCAAACAGAATACCTACTTTTTAATACCATTAAGGGAATGCAACAAAAGCATGATTTCCCCAGGTACTTTATCATGAAAATCATCTGATATCAATTTTAAAAACTAGATCCCAGGCACCTTCCTTGTAAATATTAATGCACTAGTGCCACAGGATAAAGTTGGTCTGGAATTAGTATTTCGAAGAAACATCCAGGAAGTGTCAAGTTTGGGCATAATCCAATAATAGTAGATAACCCAATATAATTGTTATTAGATGATCTACTATACAACTCTTGGTACAAAAATCTTCAATAAATTTAGCTATGGGAGGTAGGTTTGATAATAATCATGTAATGCTGATAACACAAATAATTTCAAAGGGATGAAGCAAAGCAGAACATGGAATCAAGTTCTTCTAATGCCAAGGCTAGTTTTGTCATAGAAATATCACCAGGTTCTCCCTTTTATAACACAATGCAAAATACAAATGAGAAAATTGCTTCTAACAGCTCAGATTCCCCAATTCTTCCAACAAAAGACTGTTATTCCCATTGATCTGGAGGCCACAGGCCTCAAGATCCAAAGTCCTTGAGTTGTTTTATGTCCTACAAGGAAAGGCAACAAAGTTTTAAATCACCACTCCATAGTCAAAATCTCCTTTGAATAGGTGAGGAGTTTCTTCCACTTCCTGTTTATGTGCATTATATTCCCTGAGTTTTTTAGTATGACACAGACACATGAAAATGCACTAATATTCTATTGTGCCTAGACAGATCTCTAGCAAAGTAAGTAAATGAAAAGTAACCTCTGAGAAAGGCAAAATGCTTTCTGGTGGATACACTGGAGCAGTACTCCTCAGTGAGTTTCTCCTTTTCCATAAGTGTGGGTGAAACCTGTGACTTGCTTCTAATCAATAGAATATAGCAAATGTGATAGGATGTCACTTCCATGATTATATTATGTTATATAAGACTCCATCTTAGCAGACTTGCTGGCTCTGAAAAAGTAAACTGCCTTATTGTAAAAATTCCTATGGAGAAGGCCACATGGCAAGAAACTATAAGTGGCCTTTAGGAACTGAGTGGTTTTTTTCATCAAAAGCCAGCAGGAAAATAAAGATCTAAATCCTCCAGCTCTAAGGAGGAATTCTGCCAACAATCTGAATGAGCTTGAAAGTGAATTCTTAAAAAAAAAAAAAAAGAAAGTGAATTGTTCTCTAGTTCAGCTTCCAGATGAGAATATATCCTAATCAGCACAGGGATTGCTGCTTTGAAAAATCCTGAACACAGAATGTAGTCATAATGTGCCCAGGTTCCTGACCTACAGAAAGTGAGATAATGAATGAGTGCTGCTTCTTAAGCTACTAATTTTGTGATCATGTATAATGTATAATGCAACAACAGATAACTAATACAATATCTTTTCCTTTATAGCCAAGAAGTTCACTCATAGTATAAATGAAGATACACAAGATCAGCTTCTCATCATTTAATTATCACAGAGGAAAGTCTGTATGATCCACTAAACCATTACCAAGTCCAAGTGTAATTCTGGCACTTTGCTATCCTTGGGGCAGAAGAAGATCAGACTCATAAGGAGTGACCCCCCCCTTTTTCTTCTGGACCAGCAGTGCTCCAAGGGCCACGGCTCAGATTCCAGACCTCTTGGTCCTTTCCTTCTCCATCCACAACTTTCTAACCTCTCCTTTCCTGTACCATCTCCCACCTGCTAATCTAGCTCTTTTCAATCATAGGTCAGGAGATCCTTCCCAGTTCTCTGGGTCTCTTTGACTTTCTGACAAGAAGAGGAATATTCTAAAGACAGGCACTTGTCATTACCAAAAATGAAAGCAGGGGGCTGGGGATGTGGTTCAAGCGGTAACACGCTTGCCTGGCATGCGTGGGGCCATGCGCAGGGCGCTGGGTTCGATCCTCAGCACCACACAAAATAAAAAATAAAGATGTTGTGTCCACCAAAAACTGAAAAATAAATATTAAAAAATTCTCTCTCTCTCTCTTTAAAAAAATGAAAGCAGTATAAAGATTATTTTTCTCTCAGAGAGGAAAGGAAATGGAATCTTTCTGGAAAATAAACAAACTCATTGGAAAACAGCTTTATCTGCTGGCATATGCTTTACTTTGCACATCTTCAGAATCTGGATATTGTATGAGGCAGGATGTAGCTATCTGTTTTTTTTAAGTCTAAAAATTAAATATATTATCTCACCTCAGCAGGTTTCTTGTGTTCTTTTGGATTTTTTGACTTGCTCCTATACATTGGGCCAGGAGTAAAGGAAGTAGAAGGACCTGTAAAAGATAATTAGAAAAAAATACTAAGATGTACTACCCACTAATGTAACTAAATGACATAAAACTAAATGCCATCCAAGAGAATTATGAAATATATGATAGACAAGACCACAGAGATCTCTTACTACTACATAAAATAACTGTACCCAAGAGAGTCTCACAATGGAGTTTAATAACATTTATAGGTGACCTTCTCAAGTGCAAAAACTTCAAAAATGCCAAGGCTGGAAAGATTCAATTTGGTGTAATTACACCTCATTGTATTTTGGAATTGCCTAGAGAAAATGTATCTGGAAAAACTAAAAATATGGAGCACATATTCTGTGTATCCTTAAGCACTTCCCCAAAGGCTGGTATTAGGGCCTTTATAAACAATGACCTACAATCAAACATTTAGTACCCTAGCTACAATTAGAATCAGAGCTTACAATTTATGCTCCTGTACTTACTTTCTTTTCTAAAGAAACTCTGTTAAAGCATTATTAGATTTGGCTTTTGCTTTTTAGGAAAAATAAAAGCAAAAAACAATGTTATATGCCATATAAAACTGACTCTTCCACCTAATTTATCTATCTATAATGAAATTTAAATGAGTAGGAAAAAGGGACTCTGAACTTTTCTTCCCAGAAATATTATTTTTTTAACTATGAGAAGATACATGAAATGGCTTATTCTCAAATCAAAGAAGAAATCCTCAAGGGGCATAGATATTATGGTTACTAGTTGCCAGCCAGTTCTACTCACACTCGTCTGAACTGTCACTGCTGGTGAGAGTCTTATGGCGTTTCATCCTGAAGCATCCTGGGAAAGAGAACAATACTGAATGAAGCAGTCAATATACACGGGAGGTCAGTCAACACTATCCCACAGATTCCAGAAGTAGCAGCAGGAAAATCACACCAAGTAAATGATTTCTATTAAGAATATTCTCAAATGGCCTAGAGTAATGGGAAAAAATACTACCAAATCCTATAATACAAAGTGTGTGGACGACTAGGTGAGGCCACACATTAGCCTTAGGAGGAAGCCCAAGCCACAGAGGATGAGTAGTATAGTGCTGGCTAGAGCCTCAGATGTGTCCATTGTCACCAAAACAAAGAAGGGCAGCTGAGGTTGTCTTCAGACAGAGATCCCAAGGAGGGAAGAGCAGGAAGGGAAACATAAAAGCAGAACTGTCAAGGGTTGAGGCTGAAAGGCATGAGACATGGCTGGCTGAAGAATGAATAAGCATGACCATTCTTTTTTTCTGCCTATACTTTTTTCCTTTCTCTGTCCTCATCTCCCAAACAAATAGCCTAATCTAAAATTATAACTATACATACATTGTAAAGAATGTTATAGAAAATTCCTATACTGGGGCTGGGGACGTGGCTCAAGTGGTAGCGCGCTCGCCTAGCATGCATGAGGCACTGGGTTCGATTCTCAGCACCACATAAAAATAAAGTAAAGATATTGTGTCCACCTAAAACTAAAAAAATAAATATTAAAAAAGAAAATTCCTATATTGTGAAGAATGAATATTTTGGACTAAAACTTCTAGTGGTTCAAGTGTCCTTCCCAGAATGTGGCCAGTAACAGATAAAGGAGATTTCACCCTTCTGGGAAAACAATGGCACTGCAGTATATGAAAAAAGAAGATACTGACACTTCAACTCACAAAATGTTGAAAATACAATATAAACTAAAAAAGACAGTGACAGTGCTACAAAATGTTACTAAGGGCTATCCCAGTTCTACAGGGAATAATGATCAGGGATAGTACCTTAGAGTCACTCATATACACTATGGAGGAGGTAGTAATACCAGTACATGACCACTTTGAGCAATTATGAATACATCAACAAGACAGTATGTTAAACGGCTTAGAGTTCTACTTCTGGCATGACAGTGTAAGGAGCTCTGTAGACTCACACTGCAGTGAAACTGGTGAAAATTCTTTCAATTAAATAACAACCCCCCCCCAAACCAATCATTTAGTCTCTAGAAGTGATCCTAAACACATACAGCAAATGAAGAAGCATTTATTCAAGAAGATCTACTAAAACTCTGTAAATAAAATGGGAATCTGTGGTATATGGACCTAGACCCATTCCCTGGGTCTCTCTTCCCAGCACAGGTTTTGTGAGATTGGTGCAGCTACATAGGGCTCACTCTCCCTTAGCTCCCAGCTGGCAGCCTTACTTGCTGGGAGAACCAGATGTCAGCACTTCTTATTCTGTTTTTAGCTAGATGCTGCTGAAGCTAAGTTCCAGGTAAGTGTGGCTGAGAGGTAAGGGCTTTTTCTTCCACATAGTTCCCACTCATGAGATGGAGGCTATTTTTAGTGTGGTGCCACCCAGAATGCTGAGGCCTTTATTACTCTGGCCCTAGCTTGTGGGGTTGGGGTTCTGCACTAGGAAAGGCAAACCTAGGAGACCTGAGGTTGCCATGCGCCTCAGAGGGAAGGCACAATGTTGTCCCCATTCCATGTTATCTAAGCTCAGAGATACTTCCTAGGGAGAGGCAGGTCATACAGAGAGGGCTACAATTCTATCATCAATGGAACTGACTTCATCTGCAGCTGACTACTATACAACAGATAACCAAGCAGAGATAGCAGGGAGAAGCCACAGAAAATCAGAAGAAACATTCCTCTCTCTCTTCGTGGTGCTGGGATTGTACCCCTTGAGCTTTATACATGCTAGACAAGCACTAGACCACTGAACTAGGCCCTAGCTTCAGAAAAAAACTCAAACACTGGTCTTTGCAATTATCCCTTTAAAGGAGGCCTAATTTGATTGGATAAATTCATGTGGCAATTTATACCCCAGGACATTATTAAAAACAATAGAACAATAGGAGCAATTAGTGGAATTTAAAAGCTGGGTATGGTCAGAAAGACAACTAAAAGGAGCCCTGTTAAAAACCACTGTCACCCCAGGTGACTGTGAACATATGGAGTTTGTGCCCTTGAGAAACAACAGAGGCTTCACACTGCAGGCCAGGGGTGGGAGTTGAATAAATAGATTTCAATACAAGAATTTAGCCAATCACTACAGAAGGAAATAAGCAAATAACAATAAAGAACCGTGTGTGGGGGTCAGTGCCAAGAGTTACTATATTATCTAAAACATTCAGTTTCCAACAAAAAAAATGGTAAAACATTTTAAGAAGCATAAGAGTATGACCCAAACACTAGCAAAATACAAAACAAAACAAAAAAAAAAACAAACAAGCAACAGAAACTGCCTGTGAAAGCAACCATATGTTGGAATTAATAAGCACAGACTTCAGAGTTCAAATTAATCATGTAAATATACTCAAAGAACTAAAGAAAACCATGCCTGAAATCCAAGCTACTCAGGAATCTGAGGTAGGAGAATTGAAAATTTGAGGCCAGTCTGGAACTTAGCAAGAAACTGTCTCAAAGTAAACAGGGCTGGGGATGCACTTCAGTGTTTGCCTAGCATGCACAAGGCCTTGGGTTCAATCCTCAATATTGCAGAAAAGCAACACCCAACCTCCACCAAATAAGTAAAGGAAAGCACAATGTTAATGCTTTGGTCAAACAGAGAATATCAAGAATTATAAAAAAGAATCCAACAGAAATTTTAGTGTTGAGAACTACAATTAGTGAAAATCCACTAAAGGGCTTCAAAAGTAGTCTTAAACTGAAAGAAAAAAGAATTGGTGAACTTGAAATAGTTTATCAATAGAGATTGTGTGAATTTTAGAGAGAAAAAGAGGTGGAGAAAAATTAACAGAGCCTCAGAGAAATGTGGGACACCATTAAACATATTGTATATATAAGATAAGTACCAGAAGGAGAGGAAAAAAGGAGCAGAAAAAATACATTTGAAAAATTTCTCAGGGCTGGAGTTGTAGCTCAGTGGCAGAGCACTTGCCTAGCACGTGTGAGGGTTTGATCCTCAGCATCATATAAACAAAGGAAAGGCACTGTATATGTATAATCAACTAAAAATATTTAAAAAACCCTTCTCAATGAAAAATATTAATTTACATACATAGGGCACTGGACAAACTCCAAGTAGAATAAATGCAGAGATTTACAAATACCACAGTAAAATTTGTTGAAAGCCAAACACAAGGAAAAAATATTGGAAAGCAAGAAAGGGAAAAAAAATTTTCCACTTACAAAAGAACCCCAATAAGATTAACAGCGGACTTCTCATCAGAAATGACGGAAGCCAGAAGGCTCTGTGATGATGGTTGCACGTTTCTGTGAATATATTAAAAATCACTGAGTTGTATACTTATAAGTCAGTGAACTGTGTAGTATAAGACTTATATCTCAATAAATGCTATTACAACAACAAAATAATTCTTATCAAAAAGTAATGTATAATTTATTTATTTTTATTTTTTGAGGTACTGAGGATTGAGCCCAGGAGTACTCTACCACTGAGCTATATTCCCAACCCTTTTTAAAAAATTTTTATCTTGATACAGGCCTCACTAAATTGCCAATGCTGGCTTCCAACTTGCTATCCTTCTGTCTCAGCCTCCCAAGTAGCTGGGATTACACATTCTTGCCACCATGCTGGGCTAGTGATGTACAATTTAAAGTCACAATGAGTTGGGTATGGTGGCACACATCTGCAATCCCAGCAGCTTAGGAGGGTAAAGTCCTAAGGAACTTAGTGAGACCCTGTCTTAAAATAAAAATTCTTTTAAAAAGGGTGGGAATGTGGCTCAGTGGTTAAGTGCTCCTGGGTTCAATCTCTGGTAACAAAAAAAAAATTTTTAAAGTCACAATCAATACAGAAATTTAAACAGAAATAAAAGTAATATATTTTCTATTTCCTACTGAATGTATAAATCTACTTACAGTAGCACTTCATTTGCCTAATATTATAAGGGATGATCTACATATGCAAACTTTCCAGATAAATATCTTGTCCAAAGATTTAAAATCCTAAGTATTATTAAAAGGTGTTTTTCTTACCAGGAGGTGGGAGGATGGGAAAAATGGGGGGAGTGTTGGGAATTGATATTGGCCAAAATATATTGTTATATTGTGTGCATGCATGAATATTTAACAACAAATCCCACTATTATGTAAAATTATAATGTGCCAATAAAAATGTGGGAACAAGGAGCTTTGCTTTTTCTTTTTCTTTCAGTACTGGAGATTGAACCCAGGTGTACTCTACCACTAAGGTACACCCTCAGTCCTTTTTAGTTTTTACTCTGAGGCAGAATTTTTGCTATATAGCAGAGGCTGGCCTCGAACTTGTGATACTTTACCCCAGCCTCCCAAGTCTCTGTGATTATAGGTGTGTGCCACCAAGACCCACTAAAGGGAGCTTTTCAAAAATATCTATTTAAAGGGCTGTAGCTGTGGCTCAGCAGTAGAGCACTCATCTCGCATGTGTAAGGCCCTGGGTTCGAACCTCAGCACCACATAAATAAAATAAAAAGGTATTATGTCCACCTACAACTAAAAAATATTTAAAAAATATCTATTTAAGTCAACCATGGTACTTACTGAATGCTTATAACCCCTACTCAGGAGATGGAGGCAGGAGGATCAAAAGACCAAGGCCTGCCTGGGCAACTTAAAGAGACCCTGTCTCAAAAAAAAAAAAAAAAAAAAAAAAGGGCTGGGTATATAGCTTAATGGTACAATGCTTGCCCAGTATGTGAGAGGCCATGGATTTGAGTCCCCAGTGCCAACCAAAAAACAATCTATTTATCTGGGCTAGGGTGTAGCTCAGTGGGAAAACACTTGCCTAGCATGGGTAAGGCCCTGGATTTGATCCCCAGCACCACAAAATAAATAAAATATAAAATATTTATTT